AACTAAATTAAAATTTTAAAAAAATTTTTAAAAATTTAAAAAAAAAGAGAAAGACTCTTAAAGAGGAATCAACATAGTGGGCTCGAACACAGCGAGGCTTGTGAGGACCCTGGCTGGGGCACTGTCCTGTTAACATGGGGCTGCTCAGGACTGACCAACAGAGCCAGGTAACAACAGATGGAGGCTTTTCTAAGTGAACTTGAGCCTCTGGCCTTTGGGTAACCAGTACAACAGTGCACCACCCAGGATGAGTGGTGGGTGGGGGTGTTTATGTGCAGATACCCACCTGTACTAAGAACCACACTTGCTGAAGGAAAGACACTTTCTTCAAGCACCATTACAAAAAGCACGCCCAGCACACAACCATAGTTGTGAGGACATCTGGGCAACGGTCCATGGAAACAGGTGACACATGTGTTGGTTTAGGCAGCCCACTGTCCTCTCCACCCCTGAGGGACCCCTGCATTAGTTGCCTCAGACCCCACAACTTTCTACTCTACTGCCATCTGAAGCCTTTCAGGAGGGGGTAAAGGTGGCCTGGTGCCCCATTCCTTTTATCAATAACCTCCATTATCCAGCGTTTGTCTTTTTGTTCCAATCTCTGGCTGGAAATTGCCTTTCATTAACCCACAATCAACAAGGGGTTCACCTTCTAGGAGACCCCAACAGTGGCCAGACAGGGACTCTCACTTCCTTTAGCCATTTGTTCACCACACCCAGCTGTTTTGCATAAAACTTGGAATGACAATTTCCCAAGAGTGTGTGGGGTCCAGGGCTGATCCAAAGGCCTGCTTGTCAGCAGGAGGGGACGGTTGTTGAGTGCCGAGGAGCCGTAGACTGTTCGTAGCAACCCTATGAACGACTTAAGTATAACTTTCCTCATTTCTCCAAGTTTATAGGCTTTCCGAAGGCAAGTTATTTTGGAAGTGGATGCCACTTCTGCTTCCAAGCTTGTTTTTTAAATGGGGAGCTCCACCAAGCACGGTCCACCAAGGTTAGCAGTCCTATTTAAAGGCAAAGCCCTTTAATCCGGATCATCTGTCTCCCAAACTCCGGATCCTTCCTTCTTTCTACTTAAAAGGAGTGGGGACTTTTGTGTTTTAAATGAGTTGAGGAAGCTGTTAATGGGTTGTGTTGCTTCGACCATCCAAACATTCCAGGAAGAGCGCAATTTCCACCAGTTTTGTGCTGACACCACCCCAATCTCTGAACACCTTAATTCGGGAAAGAGGCTGGGAAATGCTGCTTCTCCACGCCAGGTAAGGTGGCGCGAACCCCAGAGGCCCTGTCTCTGGCAGGTACCCCAGTCTGGCCCGGTGCGCAGGCTCCGAATGCCCGTAGTCAGCGGAACCTGGAGAACCGGGATCAAGGCCCGAGAGCAGCACCACAGAGACGCCCCACACGTCTGCGGGAGGGGCAGAGCGGGCTGGGGCGGGGACCGCCCTGCCGCTGGTCCAGGGGCATCTGGGACGGCGTTTAAAAGGCGCGGGGCGAGCTGAGCCGGTGAAGCCGGCCACCCCGCACAAGGGACGTGTGTGAGCGGTGGCGCTCAGCCTGCGGCAGCGGGGACATGGCCGCACCCTTCGACGGCCTGAGCGCCTGCTCTGCCCGGGGCCCCGCGCGCCACCCGGGCTCGGCGTCCCCCGCGGGCTCGGTGCGCGCAGACCTGGGCGCAGCGGGCGCCGGGCCGCGCCTGTGGGTGACCGCGCCCGCACCCTACGTGCCAGGCACGGCTCTCGGCCCTGCGGCCCCCGGCGGCTACGCGGGCCCCGGACCCCTGCTCGGCGGCGCGGGCGGCCTGGCTGGCGGCGACCTGGCCTGGCTGGGCCTCCAGGGCCAACACGAGCTGCTGCGCCTGGTGAGGCCGCCCTACTCGTACTCCGCGCTCATCGCCATGGCCATCCAGAGCGCGCCGCTGCGGAGACTGACGCTCAGCCAGATCTACCAGTACGTGGCGGGCAACTTCCCCTTCTACAAGCGCTGCAAGTCGGGCTGGCGGAACTCCATCCGCCACAACCTGTCGCTCAACGACTGCTTCAAGAAGGTGCCCCGCGACGAGGACGACCCAGGTAACCGCGCGCTGCTCGGCCAGGCGCCCGTGTCCCGCCCCGGGGTGGGGCGACCTTCAACCGCCTGAAGCTTCAGTGTCCCCTACAAGATAACGAAGCAAGACTGGGAGGGACGAGGGAGACGCACAGCCACGGCAGGCTACTGGACAAAGGTGCGTGCCTTAGTCCCACGAGGTACCTGCGCGCCCACGGACCCACGGGATTTCTGCGCGCCCACAGACCTACTGGGTGTCTAGACCCACAGAGTGTCTGCGAAGGCGCCCATGAGTGCACAGCTGACCTGGAAAGAGATTTCTCTTCTCCCGCCTCAATGTCTTTCACTTTAAACTTGAAAAACAACACCCACCTCAGGTTCAGAGGACACTAGGTTGCCCTTTTAAGAATTCAAGAGCCTGCATGAGAGCCTCAGTGATGCGGTGGAGGAGGGTTTGGGGACCGCAGGGTGCCTGATGGCTCTCACAGTCCTAGCTAGCCTGAGTCTCTGCACTTTCTCAGGCCGCTTCCCAGGTCCTCCTGGGTGACCCAGCCTTGCCCAGCCTGGCCATGGAGGCCTTTGGGTGTTCAGTACCCCCTCAACGTCTAGTGAGAGTAAGGGGTCACTGCTTTCTGGAGGTCCTCTAGGGCCTCTTCTTGACATCAACCTGTACCCCATGGGCATGCCAGGTCTTTTAAGCCCCGGGTTTCTGAGCTGAGTCCTTCCTTCCTCTGCAGGTAAAGGCAATTACTGGACCCTGGACCCAAACTGTGAGAAGATGTTCGACAATGGGAACTTCCGAAGGAAGAGGAAAAGACGAGGAGAGGTGCATGCAGCCGCAGGCCCCACGAGTCCAGAGGAAGCCCAGATGCAGGCACTGTCACCCAGGCGCAGTGCCACCCCGGGCCCACCGTCCCCACCCACATCAGAGCCTGCTTGCTTCTCCAGTTTCGCCTCTGCCATGGGGGCCCTGGCTGGTGGTTTCAGTGCCTTCCCCGGGTCACTGGCCAGCGACTTTCCTTTCGGGCCACTGCCAGCAGTCACCAGCCATGGTCCCCAAGCCCCCAGCCCTGCCCCCAGCTTCGCCTCTAGCCAACAGACCGCTGCCAGCAGCTTCCGAGTCAGTCACTTTGTCTATGGCCGTGAAGGAACAGAAGTTTGAAGAGAGCAGGCATTAGTGGAGGGAAGAGTCCAGAGACACTGTGGCCGACTGGGCGCTGTCCGATGACAGTGCAGATATTCATTCCACTGAAGCTGCTGGCTGGGCCCACGAGGTCCCACAGGAGACCTGAGCCACACCGTTGTTTCCAGGTAGTGCTCCTGGCATGCACCTGGTGCCCAGACCACCATTCAGAGTCTTGGCTTCAGCCTTGAGTTTTCACTGAGGCTACAGGAGCCTTCTTGGTGTTGGTGATGCCCTGATAGACATGTCAGAGGATGCCCGGGGCCACCTCCTCTGCCCACTTGGCCAGGACAGGGAGGCTGGAGGACCAGCGGACAGTGCCAGATCACAAACCCTTCCTCTTACTACTGGAGTGCAGATTGTGCCCAGGATATCTGCCTGCCAGGCTTCAGGCACCTGTAAGAGGGGCTCCTGATGACTGGGGCAGAACAGTAGGGTCCCTGGGAGTTCCAGCCCCTTGACCTGCCTGCCCTTCAGCATCAGACCCCAAAGACCCTCACCCTAAATCCAGTATCTTACGGGACCTAGGCACTGTGGCCTGTGGGAGTGTGCCTGCAGCTGGGCTGGGATGGATTCTGGACTCACAAATGCACACACACAAACACATTCAGGTAAGTGGAGGAGAGGCCCAGGTTTGCCTCGGTCCTGCTCCCTTTCTGGCCATTTGAGTAGTTGCCTCTGCAAAAGGTCTCCCAAAGGACATGTGTCCCTGAGAAGGATGCCTTGTGATGGCCAAGGAGCCCAAGGAGGGTTTGGTCTCAGCCTCTCCTCCAGAATCCCCTGCAGGCCATCCTGGAGCAGGGGGCCCTTTAAAGAAGAGTCCACCTCACCTGGCTGGCGGGGGAGGCTTCCTCCTGGGGCACCTCTGGAGCTGAGGGCAGAAAGGACACATCTAAGACCCTCCAGAGCCAGGGCAGGTTCAGCAAATGAGCCCAGCCCTCACCACTCTCGTGCCTGCTCCTTTGTTGGTGCTGGAAGCACAGCGCTGGCTTGTCTGTTCTGATGGAGAGTGTGTGTGTGAGAGAGAGAGAGAGAGAAAGAGCAGAGAGAGAACAAGGGGGGTGACTACGACAAGGAAATTTGGGACCTAGGTCATAAAATTGGACCCCAGGGTCAGAGCAGTTCTGAGTTGAATTTAATGCCCCTTCCACACTGCACTCTCCCAGAAGGTACCTCTTATGTCCACGAGCTCTTGTCATTTAACCAAACCTGTAACTAAGCCATAATCCTCAGGGAAGCGCTTGTCCCCAGTACACAACCAGGCACACCTCATTTCGTTGTAATTCACTTTTTTTTTGTGCTCAAAGATATGGCATTTTTCACAAACTGAAGGTTTGTGGCAACCCTTCATTCAATAGGTTATCACCACTTCTTTATTTCTGCCAACAGCGTTGGCTAATTTTGCAAATTTGCCTCCTGTTTTTTTTAAATTCTCAAAATATTTTGAACTTTCTCATAATGCCATTGAACAGACTGCAGTACAAAAACTTCTCTGCATCCTGGGAAACCAGAGTGTGTGTCACCTTGCCATGGTGACTTGTGGCTGAGATGGTCTGAAACCAAATACACACTATCTCAGACATGTGCTCCAACACAATTAAAGGGCTGGGGTGGGGGGATGTCAGCTTGTAAAGAAATAAACCAGTTTACCCCTGGGTCTGTTTAGTAGAATAAAGGTTGCACATCAACTCTGGAACCTGTAGCCTGGATGTACCAGCTTTCGTTTTTCTTATTTATACAGTCATTTGTGTACATTGTGAGTCTTTTACAGTCATTTCTGTGCATTATGTTTTTATATTTATTGTGATTTGCCTGTTCCTCCATTCTTACTCCCCACTAATTCCCTTCCACGCCTTTTCTGCTGCCTCTTAAAAGACAAGAATCCCACTGGATCCCTCACTCCGTTTCTGCCTTTACAGAAAGCTTGGAGAGTGTTCCGAAATGATGACTTTGACAACATTAGGAGCATTCAATGTGTGTTTATGGTTTTAAAGTCAGTGGAGCATTTAGAAAATTGACTCGCAAATATCTACATAAACATTATACCTCATAGCCACGTGGATGCCAAAAGTTGGTGGAAAAGCTGCTTTTGAATCGCTGTTCCAATGATGGTTTTTCTTTGGAAAAGACTTTTCAGCTTGTGGTTTTCTTGACTAAACTTTGATTCTGTTTCAACTTTTGTCTGTTCAAGACTTTTCCCCCCTTTTAAACAGATAAAGGTGTAATCACACAGATGAAATCTTTGTAAGGAGTACAGTATAAACAGATTTCCAGCCACACAGGGCACCTGGGGGGCTGCATGCCCACCGAACAGCCCTCCTCCTACAAGTCAGAGTATCTGGGCTTTTAGTCAGTGAGGTGGAGGCGGGCAGGACGTGGGAGAGGAGGGCCGCTCAGAACGTGGTTTGGGGCCTGATCGTAGTCTGCTCTAAAGCCAGATTATCTCAAAGCAGCTTTGTCTTAGAGCAAAGAAAACTCGCATTAGATTCAAAACTAGTTACTACCACGCCCATTCCACGCTGGCCCCAGGTGTGCCGGAGTCCACGTCCACTCCGCAGTGACCTGAGGGGTGCTCGAGTCCACGTCCACTCCGCGGTGACCTCAGGTGTGCCAGAGCTGTTCCTAGAGTACTTACTGTGGCCAGTTTCTCAGAAGCAGATTGCTGGGCCTTACTTTGTAGGCACCTCTGGGCATTCTTGAACCATCAGCAACAACAATGAACTTGGATTTGTTCAGCACATCTTTTTGAGTGCCAGCTACTGACTGGACTCTGAATTATGCCCCATTCCAAACAACAGCCTCTGGAGCTCCTCCCAGGGTGGGGAGAGAGGAACAGTTTCAGGCTGATCATGATAGGGGCCTTCAAAATGATCAACCCGTGATCAAGTTAGCAATCATTTCATTTGTGAACACACACCCCACAGTGCCCTTTGCTTGGGTTCTTGATTTTGTCCCTTTGTTGTGATTTAGGGAAGGAAAGGGCGCTGGCCCAGCTGGAGCTCACCCTATCTGCTGGGTCCCCAGAGTCTTCCAGGAACCTCACCACGAAGTCATCCTTTTGGTAGAAGAGGAGATCTCTGGTGTCAGCCGAAGATGGCCTGTTCACACAGTCTTCTTTGGGGCATTCCTACTGTTATTTACTAACATTTCACGCACTCTTTCTCTTTTAAGCTAGTATCAAATTTGTTTACCAGAATTCTTATTGTTCAGTGTTTTCCAATTGGCTCCAACACCAGAGAAAGACGAAAGAACTGCCTAGTTTGCAGGGCCCTCTTAGCCATTGGCGGCTGCAGGCATGGGTCAGCCATCCCGCTGCTGGTCACCCCGTCTTCGCTGACCCTGTACGAGCTCAGCTCCTTTTTAGTGCACCTCACAGCCACTGAGTCTTTTACAAAGTGAACGTCTGAGGCAGGTCTGCTTTGAGCACGTCTACTGGCCCACTTGAGACAAGCTCTGAACTAGGTCCTGGAAACAAAATTGGATACAACAAGGCCCCGAAAAGACAGACTGACAGATAACAGGTGTGGGTGGACAGTGACCTCTGCAAGATGGCAATATGCAGGGACACAGAAAGTGGGGTTGGAGGAATTTGAAAAGGTCACTATGAGTCGTCTACAACTCAGTGTCCTTAACAACATAGAGAGACACCAGTTGGCCTAGTTGACAGAAAGTGATGTTACCAAGCCAAAGGTGGGTGATTCTAATCCGTGGTCCTCAGGCCTGTTTTGGCTTTTTCTCATTCTTCTAAGTCGTCTAGCCCTGGTGTGTCCACCTGCCGTACAGAGGTAACTTATGATTGCTGTGAAGCTGAACACTGTGACACTGATGTAGCAAATGTGACAATGGTTCCCCATGGTGGACAGTGTTTGGTGGAGCTCCCCGATTAAAACAAGCTGGGAAGCAGGAGTGGCATCCACTTCCGTAAATAGCTTGTCTCCAGAAACTCTATGAACCTGGAAAAAGGATGAAAGTCACACAGATGTTGAGGACTTTCATTCATAGGGTCGCTGAGTCATCTAAGACTCGACGGCACTTAACAATTTAACAACAGTCAATGTAAAGAGAGCCCTGGTGGTGTGGGCAGAGAACTGTGATACTGACCCAAAGGCCATACCTCTCCAGAAGTTCAAATCCACTGGAAGCTCTGTGGGAGAAATATGACCAATCTACTTCCGTGAGGTTCACAGCTTCAAAAACCTCAGAAGCGTCACCTGTGAGTTGGTGCCAATTTGACAGTGATGTGTGAGTGAATCTATGCAAGTTTTCAGTTCCTCTTAAAAAGCAATGGGCTAGAAGTCATATCCTAAAGAGCGGTAACTTGGGAATGAATTGCAATGGTGCTCGAAGTTACCCTACCACTTTTCCATCCCCAGCAAGGTCACCGCATGATGGGTAGACTTCAGAGGAGCATCCGGATTTAGACTAAGCAGCCCCAGTGACGCTTTGTCTTTAGCATTGGCTACTAAGCTCAAACGTTTAATCCCGCTAGCCATTTCTCAGAGAAAGATGCACCAGTGTGCTTCTAATAAGATTTACAACTTGGGAAGCCTTACGGGGCAATTCTACTCTGTCCTATAAATTCACCATGAACAGAACAGACAGGATAACTGTGGCTTTTTCAGACTAAGTAAAAAGAAAACCTAGATGATCTATGTCCAGAAAGGACCCGATGGAAAGCCACTGCTGTCCCACAGAACACCAGCAGACGCCAGAAGGCGCTCGGACTGCAGGGTGGCTTGCACGCCAAGGCTCATGAAGACGGAGCGGGGCAGTGCTGGGTTGCCGCCTGTTAAACGTGAGGTCGTAGCAAGAATCAGGACCGACCTCACAGAATAGCAGCAATTGTGTGTCATCTGGGGGTGGGGAGGAGGGGCTCCAGCACCAGGCATTTCTGGACACTGCTCCTGGTTCTCCCAGGGCCCAGTCTCTTTTGTCTGGAAGCCTTCTTTCCACAGTCCCAGAGGACTCAGGCTTTGACC